AGCTCATTAGAGAGTGCCACCTTTTTTCTTTCCTCCTCCTCAGACTGCGTGTTCTCATTGAGAGGCTGAACAGGCCCCCCCCTTTCACTCTGAATGAGTCAATATGTATGGGTGCTAATATACCAGAGACAGATTTTTTTCATCCTTCAGCCAAAAGCCAACATCCTGTACTTACCACAGCACATTTACAGGATGCTGTCTCTGCTCTGAGCAAAAACATCATTTGAATTAATTGGAGATTTTTGAATAGATGTTCTATTTTTGTCCTCACCTCATTTTCATCATAGTTAATCCTCTCATTTCTCCATCAGTTGCTTTACAGCAACCCTTATACGACTTGTTTTTTTTCCCCTCACTTCTCACCTGCTTTGTCCCTCCAAACACTTTTCTTTCACTGTCACTTTTATCACTTTGGTATCTCCCTCTTCTGCTCTTTGTCTGTGTTGTTAAGCTGCCTCCAAAAAAGCAGTGACCCCTCTCCTCTCCACCCCCACGCCTACCCTCCCTTTCTCTTCCTCCCTCCTCTTCTCTCCTCCTGACTGATGCTATAAATACCCGGCATCGGTGAGTCATCGCCCCGACGTATCAGTTGCCTATTCCTCTGTGCCTTGCCACCCTCAGCCTCCTCTCCCCACCCTCCCCAGATCTCTCAGCTCAAGCTCATTACCAGACCTCACACGCTTAACCATCTCTAATTTGGCCTTTGCATCATGACAAATCCATGCTGAGTGAAGAAGAGACCAGTGCCTGGCATGGTGCAGCCAAAGGTCGGACTGACACATTACTGACACACACACACCCATGTTGTGTCACATTATCCTTATGGGTTTTTTCCACTAAATTTCCATTCATTTCCCACACAATTCAATAGCCTAACCATTACCATAACATGCCTAACCCTAAGCTTAGCCTCCACCCCAAGAAGAGAACTTCTCCTCATAGGGACCATTGGTTCCCATAACATTTCAGCATGGGAAATTATCCCACACACACACACACACACACACACACACACACACACACACACACACAC